CCATTCCACACTCAAGGCCTGTTGTCATCTCCAGGTCCCACCTGTCCCTCTGTCCCTCCCACCCCCCAGCCTCTGCCGCAGTCAGGCCAGTTCCCTCCCTGCTTCCTGTGGGTGCCATGCCCCAGAAGCCTCTGGCCTTTGCTCACACACTTTTCCCACCTAGACTGCCCGCTCCACCCAATCATTGAGACCACAAGCATGTTCACACATGACGCGGGCAACCAAGACCTCATCTTGTCTTCAGAATACCTCTGGAGGTTGGCACAGCAGGGAATAGTATTCCTGCTTTACCGGCTAACAGATAGGTTCAGGGAAATGAGCAAATTGCCCAGGCTCAGGCTGTAAGGAATGGAAACGGGTCATTAGACTCCTTACAGTGCTCATCCCAGGAAGCCATGCTGTCAGGAGAGAGAGACTGAGTGCCTAGACCCCACAGGACTGGCTTTTGCCCATGTCCCCCCCTTTCCAGCCCCCTTGGCCTCCATGGTGTCAAGTTCATTCCCCCTGCAGGGCCTTTGTGTTTGCTGCTCTCACCCAAAGCGCTTTCCCCACCCTTGCAGAGCTGGCTCCTTCTGTCCCTTCTAGTTCCAGCTCAAATGTCACTCCTTTGCCACACAGCCCTGCTGACCTGGCTTCCCCTCTCCCAGCCACTCGCATCTGGCCACACGATTTTGTTTTCTGCCCAGCACTCGCTACTCAGAAAGCTCCTACTTACTGAGCTTCCCCGCTCTAAGACACATCACGGTGGAAGACATTCCATCTGTTTAGTTCAAAACTTACCTCCCACACTGGCTCTCCAACACGGCCCGGCCCGGAATGTGTTGGGCTCCCAGGAAACTTTTGCTGAGCAAATGAATGAGTGAACACGGTGGCGGCCTCCCTGACGCTGCGCTCTCTGCAGGCTGGCAGCCCGCATCCTGTGGCGGGTGGCGCGAGAGGGCACCGGGCTCACAGAGGGTTGCCTGGTGGCGGTGGACGACCTGCAGAACCACGTGGAGCACTTCGGGGAGGAGGAGCGGAAGGAGCTGCGGGCTGACGTTGACACGTTCCTGCAGTTTTGGCCGCCCCAGAGCCAGCAGTTCGGCATGCAGTACATCTCCCATGTCTTCGGAGTGGTATGGTACCCTGGGTCCCATCCTCTGCCCTGCCTGTGTCCCCCTCCTTCTGCCCACCCCTTTGGGCGGGTGGGGCTTCTTGGAGGCAAACAGTCTGAGGAGGGAGCCCCGTCTGCCCTAACAGAGACTTCTGTGTCCATCGAGATCTCAGCCAGCTCAGGCAGCCAGGGTCTCTGGGGGAGTCTGCCCTCTGTGTACCAGAAGTAGCAGAAACACTCACTGACTCCAGGGCCAGATCCCTAAATGACACAACTAAAAGAAATCCCGAGGCCAGGTGTGGTGGCTCACGCCTGTAATCCCAGCACATTGGGAGGCTGAGGCCGGAGGATGGCTTGAGGCCAGGAGTGTGAGACCAGCCTGGGCAACATAGAGAGACACTGTCACTATTTAAAAAAAAAAAATTAGCCAGGGTGTGATGGTGCCTGCCTGCAGTCCTGCTACTTGAGAGGCTGAGGTGGGAGGATTGTGTGAGCCCAGCAGTTGGAGGCTGTGGTGAGCTAGGGTTGCACCCACTGCAGCCCAGCCTGGGTGACAGAGGGAGATTTCATCTCCAAAAAACATAAAACTAAAAAGGAAAATCCAGAGATTCTAGAGTATGATTCATCATAAAGGAGGAGAAAAGGTGACAGCTAGGATCGCCAGACTAAGAAGTTTCCAGATGATGACGGACAGGAAGGGAGGCTGAAGGAAGGACTGAAAAGGGAGGTAGGTATTAGCCAGCGAGAGGTGGTCAGGGCCGCGGTGTGGGAGTCTCAAAGCCAGGTGAAGCCACAAGAGTCCAAGGGGCGGGGTGGGAGCCTGGTGGATTGGAGTGCTCAGGTCCTGGGCCGTGGGGTTAGCTGTCTCCCATCAGGCAGGCCAGGCCCCTTAGGTGGTGATCAGGCTGGGGAGGGAGGTTGTAAGAACAACGAGATGATCACACCCAACACCTCTTCAGTCCTCACCATGGAGAGAGAGAGAGAGAGAGAGAGAGAGGCAGAGAGGGAAAGAGGGGAGTGGGAGAGAGGGAGGGAGAGAGAGGGAGAGAGGGAGAGAAAGAGAGAGAGGGAGGAGGGAGAAAGGCAGAGATCTGGCTCATACAATTTGGTTCATACTGCAAGGTGGGCCAGAAGGTTGGAGACTCAGAGACCCAGGGAAGAGTTCAGTTCAAGGTCAAAGGCGGTCTGCTGGCAAGATTCCTTCTTGCTCAGGCAGATTAATCTTGTTCTACTGACTGGATGAGGCTCACCTGCATTATGGAGGGCACCCTGCTTTGCTCAAAGTTTACCAATTTAAATGTTAATCTCATCCATAAGCACCCACACAGAAACATACATAATAATGTTTCACCAGATATCTGGGCACAATGGCCCAGCCATGTGGACACATACAAGTAACCACCACAGCTTTGCACATATTATTTCATGCAATCTCTGTGACATAAGGTGAGGTCCATGCTTTGAACATTCCCATTTGATAGAACAGAAACCTAGACCCAGAGAAGTTATGTGGCCTCTGAAGGCCGAGTGGCTAGCTAGGTAACAGGAAGGTCTGGAAGCATCTGTGCCTTCTGGGGCCAGAGCTTCTGCTCTTGTCATGCTATGGCCTCGAGGTGAATTGGTGTGACAGGCCAATCCTGGGAGTTCCTAAGGAACTTGGGGGCTAGGATCACAGACCATATAATCACCAAAGGTTAGGGCTGAAAGAGTCTTAGAGCTCATCTAGTCCAACATATTCAACCTATAGATGGAAAAACCAGTGCTCAGATGAGAAAGCTACTTGCCCAAAGTAATACAGCTTGTTAGTGGCACTCACAGGTTCAATGTCATACACTTGTAAATAGACAATTGAGAATAAATGGCGAAAGTGACACTCTCCCATGTCTTTAACAAACAGCCATGTGAGTGCATAAATGTATATCACATTTATATTATGTATAGCATATATGTACCTATACGTTCTTGTAGAGAGTAGAAATTTGTGTGCAGTTACTAATGTATTCTAGGCTGTATTTATTTTTACACATTTTTCATACCATGACAGCAGATATTTGGAATCTCTTTCTAGAAAGAACAACTTATTTTTAAGGAAAAGGATATCAATTGAGTGCCCCGTCAGTAATCACCAAGTTGGTTTGCCAAGTGTCAAATCTGGCACTCATTAGATTTTAAAACTGAATGGGGAATATAAAACTACCCACCACCCTACAAAACCATAATAAAAAAATATTGATTAATAAAAAAAAACAAAACAAAACTACCCACCAGACACAAAATAATTCATAAGAACTGTCAATTTTATTTTATGAACAGCAATGGGAACTGCGGGTAAGTAGGCAAAGGAATCAGGAAGGAAAAGTAGACATGTGTACATACATGTGCGTCCCCCACCTCCACGTGCGCACGCGCGCGTACGCGCGCACACACACACACACACACACACACACACACACACACACACACACAGCAGAGCACGGAGAGAAAAACCAAGATGGATACTGAGGAATACTCACGCAAGACCCAGATACAGGAAAATAAAAACATTTCCACCTTTGGCCTTTCTAGAATGCAGCCACCAAAGACTTGCAAGATAGGGTTGTATTTTTGCAGACATAGGACTCATCTTGCGGGTCATTTGGAGTCATGCAGAGAACAGGGGACTAATTGCTTCATTTCCAGGGTGGAAACATTGCCAGGGTGAGACTGGGTCTTCTATTTTCTCAAACTTCTTTCAACAACTAGGATGGTGTTCTGTGTTTAGTCCTTGTCTGTGAACTGACTCTTTTATTTTTCTCCCCTGCCGTAGATTAACTGCAATGGCTTCACCCTCAGTGACCAGAGAGGTCTGCAGGCGGTGGGCGTGGGCATCTTCCCCAACCTGGGCCTGGTGAACCATGACTGCTGGCCCAACTGCACTGTCATATTTAACAACGGCAAGTGAGTACCTGGGGGCATGTGATGGGGATGGGCAGACCTATGGTGTTTCCTCCCCTCGCCTTAAGCCAAGGTCAACCTGTTGAACCTGAGCTAGCATGGACTTCAAGTACAGTAGATAGGAATCTCACTCCGGAATAGTCATGAATGGGAGAAAGGTATCAAGGAAGATATCAGACAATTCGGTGTGGGTCATTTCTGAGTTTTCGCATGCTTCCTGAGACTGCCTAGATGGGTTAGATAAACCTCTAATTTCGATTTTCAAACTTGGAACCTGAGATCCTCTATCAAGAGGTCATTGCAGAGAAACATCAGTGGAGAAGGGACTTGGCAGGAGCATACGTTAGTCAAGATCTCAGTGGGGATCTAAGGCACACTCAGAGGCATTTGCCCAACTAGAATTTAATGAAGGGACAGTTTAGAGAAGTGTGGGAAGGCTTGAAGAAACTAACAAGCAATAGTGAGGTGCCCAGGGACTAGCAGCACATGAGACCATGACTTCTCTAGATCTAGGGGTGCAAATGAAGGAAGCACTGTTCCTGTAGCGGGAGAGAGTGGGGGGTCATGCTCGGGGGCCCCCAACAGCTCAGTTGTGGCTTACGGCCGTGCCTGTAGAGAAACCAGCCTCAGTGGAACCGTGCCATGGCAGAGAGGAAGTCAGTGACCAAAATACCCCAGCCTCTCACAGTTCCGGCCTTCTGGTCGCCTCTCACTGGTCAAACCCCGAATAGAATCAGGCAACAAAGGAACTGGAGTGATGCAACCCTCAGAAGTCAGCTCCCTGACCTCAGAAAGGCACAGATCAGGGACTCGGGACCAAGAATGGATATTGGGGGTGAGGCATAAATGGAGAAGAATCAGCCCATGGGATAAGACCCTGGTTGTCCACGTCTTGGCCTGGGAGATGTGAGATGAGGCCTGAGCAGATAGGAATTGCTTTTGCTCCGAGAAGTGAGATCTTATGACAAGTGCAAGTTGACTCTGCATCATCCAACAACAATGACCGGGGTTCCCTTTAAAGCTTCCTAGAAGCCACAGACAACGGTTTCTGGTTTTTCCCTGAGAATCCAGCTGAAGCGTCAATATAGCAAAGACTCTGATTTTCCTTTTCCTTCCTGTTTCTGAAACCAGGCTCTTAAGCAGTTGAGAAAGTCATTCAGGATGGGAAAGTTTATTTTGGAACCTGATGATAATCTTTTCCCAGGGTTTGTGTTTTCTTTCCTAAACCTCTTGGGATCACTGGTCTGGACTTCATGGAAGCCTCCCGAGAGGGCTATTGTCTGAGCTTAACCTGATTAACAGAAAGATCAAATTCAGACAGGGGCGGACTTTCTAGAAGGCGCTCCCCTACATGGTGGTGACCAGGGCTCCTCTTGTCACTCTATATATCAACCACAGGAACCAGGAACCCGCTCTTCAGTTGACCTTGGGTGTCTGCTCTGGCTTCCTTGCACCTACTAATTTCTAGCAGCCACGTTTTATCCAGGCTTCTTGACTTTTGTGCAAGAGAAAGCGACTTTGCAGTCACTTTGCAGTCGCACTACCTAGTGGTCTGCCATAGTGGAAAGAACCCTGGAATGGTGTTGGGGTCCGATTCTAACCCCAACGATTTCTACCCGCTACCTGCGTGACCCAACCAGTCTCCATGCGCCATTCAAACTCTCCCCAAGGCAGACATCCAACGAGGCAGACTTTGTTCTTTCAGGGTGCTTGTTAGTGAGATAATAAGGGCACCCCACATGCTTTTCACTCTGATTTTAAATTTCTTGTCTTATGACAGTGTCATTGTAGGTGAGAACACCGGAACCCAGAGAAGAAAAGCCACTTGTTCAGGGCTCAGTGCCTTTGAACCAGAACTTCTCATTCCAAATCCAGTGCCCTTTCCACTGTGTCAGGCTGCGTCTTGGCCAGTGAGCCCAGCTAGAAGGGGCTAGGATGAAGGTTGCGATGGCCAAAGCTTTGATTGTGTAACCCAGAATGCTGTGCCCCCTTGCTAGCTATGCTGGATCAGTCATTGGTAACGGTTTTCATTTGGGTGTCTGTTTTGTCTTTCAGTCATGAGGCAGTGAAATCCATGTTTCACACCCCGATGAGGTGGGTCAGTCCTTTCAAGCATCTCCACTCCTCTGACCCATCTCCCTCACTTGCCTGGTTTGCTGGGGCCGCCCGCTCCCAAGACTCCTTGGCTGCCGTCGGTCCGTAATATCCTTCTGCACCCAGTGTCTCATCTTGGCTGAACGCACTTAAATTAACCATGTGTTCCCACCCACACATCCCTTCCTTCTTTCACACTTTCTCTCCTCAGTCCTACCACTCTTCCAGCCTCGAAGCATGGACCCTTCCAATTCACATAATCTTAGCAAACTACAGTGTTCCCTTGGACCCTGCTTGATGTTACTGACCTACTAAAAGGCTCTATATTCAAGCATCAATTTCTCACTCCGACTGGACTCTGAAAATAACACTCATAACTGTGACATTTGTGATAAATATTCACAGTGTTTCGTTTACTGCTTCTGGCCAGCTATGAATTAGTGGCTCAGGTTAAATTTTACTTTTGACTTTTCTCAGTGACAACCAGATGGCCCAGATGGATCTTTTTCTCAGGTTGGGCTTGAAATCTCTTGGCACGGTCTTTGGATTAAGAACAAAATGACGTGTGGGGGTTTGGGCTCTGGGAATGCAGGGGTAGGAGTGGTCTGGTTGGTGTGGTTGGTCTCAGTCTGTGTTGGTGTGCCTTGCACGTGACTTTGGCTGATTCACATCCTCCTCTGGGCACGGGTTCCACATCGTAGAGCGAAGGTCAGGATGAGAACATGACTCTCGGGCCCTTCCTAATTCTAAGTCCCTGTGGCTCTGGGCTGTTCCTCAGCTCTGCAAAAGGCACCGAAATAAGTTGCCTATTCGTGGCCTAATTAGCCGAACTTGTAGAGTATTGGGGATGGAAGGGGTCTGGGGTCTAGGGAGGGAAGAGACTTGTCCAAGGAAGCGGTTGGAGGGAGGTCCGGGGCTACAGCCTTCATCTCCTGATTCCTGCAGTGCTCCCTCTATTTTGATCACCATTTGCCTTCTCTCAAGCCCCAGTTCCAAGTATGGTAAACACGGGGTGACGCTATATGCATTTTGTTCATATTTGTGTGACATTAAGTTAATTTGGTTTTGAAAATTATCTTTTACCACTGAAATAACCTGAGACTTGGAGGAACTGGCATAACCGTGGCAGAAAGCAAACTTATTAGAAATCCCAAGCTAAGTGACCCCTGAGTCACCGCTGAATTATGACCTATCACTGTGGTGGTCTGCCTGTGTAAAAGGGACTAGTGGTGGCAGAATTGATTACGTACCCTCAGGGCCAAACACCAGAGATCCACACTCAACACTGGCCCAGGAATTGCTCACATAGGACTATTTAGGACATTCGTGGAGTCCCGAAAAGCAAGGACTTTGATGTGTCTCAGTTCCCTGCATTACTGGGAGGCGGCCTGAAAAACATTAGGCGAGGTCAACGTGACGTGGGGAATTGTGAGTGACGCTTCGGTTCTAATTCTGGCTCTGACACCACAGTGCTTGGGACACACCCTTCTTGTCCTTGTTTGTGAAATGTGGGTCTCCTGCAGCCCTGACACATTAGGGTTCCAAGCAGAGCGGTTGGCAGAAGCATCTGGCCTCCCTCTCCTGTCTTTTCATCATTCGGTGACAGATGCTGCCAACAATTGGGACGGGGACGGAAGGAAGGAAGGAATAAGAGACAAGCGGGTGCGTATGCTTGCCAGGCCCCACGTGGGTTCTTCTCATATGTATCACCACACTTGCTGGGCATGCCAGTGCATCCCACTTTGGGAGAAAGCTGTTTACTCTCAAGTGGTCACCTCAGATGCCTGGCCATGCGTGACACTGCCCCTGAGCCCTCTGGGTTGTCATCTCAGAATACATGGAAGGGTTGCCTTTGACTGAGACTCATCTGGGATGCTGGAGTCTTGCCCTACCTTTTGTCTGGTGTCTAACAGAGCCTTTCTGGAAGTTGAGAGAAGTGACCATGAGTCTCTGCACAGATGCCCTCCCTGGCTTTCTGCATCCTGCTACTTGTCTTCTGGGTGGTAGCTTCCCTCTAGGTCGGGAGGCCTCAGAATCCTGGAGCTGCCAGGACCCAGCTGGCAGGCTCACTACTTGTTTTTGGCCCTGTCTGGCCTTGGGGAGGTGCACGGCCGGCCTCCACCCACTTGGCTCAGCTGGACATCAGCTCTGCAGCGTTTACTCTCAGCGTCTTCTGTTATTTGTTATGTGGTCAGGTGGGTGGTGCTGGCGCTAACTGGATGCTCAGATCTAGGCTGGAAGGGCCCGAAATGCCATCTGCTCTTGCTAACCACTTTCAGTCCTAAGCCGCACCTCCCAATAAGCACAGATGTGAACGAGGCAGCGGCTAGCAGAGCCAGCTTGTGTTCATTTGCCTTCGGCTGTCTCCAGGGGGCATGAGTCCCCTCATGAAATGTAGGCCCGACCCAACAGACTAGAGATTAAGGGAGGCGGTGACTTGAAGTTATACACAGATTGGGCCAAGATTGTGGGAAACGGAACGTGTATGTAGTGGAAAGAGTATTTCTCAGGAGTAGATTTTAGGTCTTTTCTGGTTTGGAGTTTTTGCCCTATTATTTCTTCCTTCCTTAGTTATGATATATGTTAACATAATGCATAACTCAGAAAGTTTAGCTACATAATCAGTAGCTACATGCATGGGGATAATGGCAGGCATGGGAGCTGGGTATGGTTTCATGACTGAGCCCAGTTCTCTGCCGGGGGTCTATTTGAACTGATTCCAGAGCAATGAGCAGCATGGAGCAGATTATTTTTTCATTTTTTTCCTTCTGTAATGAAGCAGATTTGACTGTTATAATGAGCAGAGTGGGATCAACCAGAAAACCCTCCTGTAGGTCACATGCCCTGTCTCTGGAAGGGGGTGGGGATGGGCGTCTGCTCAGAGTACTAGTGGGGGAAGTCCTTGTCTTTGAGACTCAACTCCAAGAAGCTTTGGAGGGCACCGATCGCGTTCCAGCAGGCTGTTTCCTTTCATCCTGCTCCAGAATTGAGCTCCGGGCGCTGGGCAAGATCTCTGCAGGAGAGGAGCTGACTGTGTCCTACGTTGACTTCCTCAGCGTCAGCCAAGAGCGCAGGCAGCAGCTGAAGAAGCAGTACTACTTTGACTGCACATGTGAGCACTGCCAGAAAGGGCTGAAGGATGACCTCTTCCTGGCAGTGAAAGACAACCCCAAGGTACACGTGGCCCTGCCGTTGGTGCATCTGTGATCCTCTTCTCTGGGAGCTGGCCAAGGGTGTGTTCACAACTAATGAACACAGCCTACCCATTTGCTTCCCAGAGGAGCAGTCTGTGGCCCTGGGAAGGAGGCGTGGATGCACCTGCCCGGAGGAGCGCCCTGGGATGGTGGGTAGCATGCAGCCGGTAGGGCCTGGTGAGGTCCCGGCACCGCCACTTGTCAGGTGTTGAGTTTGGGAAGCCCTCCGTTTTCTCACCTGTAAGATGGGAAGGACGGCCCCACTGCAATAGGTGGTTATTAGGATTAAGCAAGATGGAAAGGTAGAGGTATACAGAGTAGACACTCGGCAAATCTTGGTTCCTTCCCTATCTCCATTACTGGGTAGTAGTGCTGAGAATTCCAGATATCAAGCCCAAATGGGCAAAGAGAGCCGGCTGTCCCAAAGATATTTTTTTTGTCCCATAGAGATGGGTGCTATGGAGACAGGAGGGGGGTCAACATTCAGATTGGTTAACAGCCTAACTCCTGAGCAGCTACTGCCAGTTGACAGCCAGTTCTCTGAGTCGCAGAATATCAGAGGGACATCTGGAGGTGACATGCCTGGGGGGCTGTCAGGAGCTCAGGTGAGCTGAGAGACAGAGCTGAGCTGCCCAGCCTCAGTTGAAGAGGTGGGTTGAAGCCACCAGTCAAAAGATGAGATGCACGCCCTCAGTCACTTATTGCAGCGGTAGAAGCAAAATGCTACAACCAGATACAGGGCCAACTTTTTCCGGTTCACTTTCTTCCATGCAGCGGTGCACAGGTGGCAGGTCAGGGAGTCAGCACAGGTGTCAGGACGTCTCACATGTCATATTGGGTTGGGAGCTCGTCCTACTCCAGGATGATCTCATCTCTACCCTTTGGCCAAATAAGGTCCCATTCTGAGATACCGGGCTAGACTTCAATGTATGAATTTGAGGGGAGGCAGATGAATGCGTAATATGGTGTATGCTACCATTTATGACAATTGCAAAGGACATACACACTCACACACACAATCCTGTGCACACCCACGTGTATCTAGAATGAGTCATCTTCATGCAGACAGCAGTGGGAGGAGAGGGCTGTGGTGAGGGGTCAACCATACCTCCAGGGCAGGCGACAAAGTGGAAGGGTCCCAAGATTCACACGTGTTGTACAGGAAAAGCCTCCCTGTCACAGATCTAGAGGTTTGGTATTCCAGGAAATACATAGGTATGTACGTGTAAGACACGGAGAACAGCACTGCGGGCGCTGCAGAGAACCCACTGCGACCCTGCCCTGACCTTCCAGAACCTTCAGGCTAATGCGTCCTCTCTGTGAGCCAGCCAGCCTGCCTTCCCCTCTGGAGCCTGGTCTGGGTGTTTGTTTCCTCACTTGGTCCCATGACCACTTAATTCATCGGTTAAGAGCCCAGATCTTTTCTGTCTTCCAAAATTAAACAAACACATGGTCATTTCTCCAAAGGTTTCCATGTCCATCGAGCTGTTTTCATAGTTCAGTGGGTGACGTGTGTCTCCAGCTCCTGTCCCTTTGGGTATGCTGTCACCAGCTGGTGCCTGCCTATGCATCTCTTTTGATATAAAAGGTCGATGATTTCTGCTTTAACCCACCTGAGATTCAAAGCAGAAACTTTCCATTATTTGTTTATATCATATTGGGTTTCTCTATTAAAACAAACAACTCAAAATAAAAATACCTCGTCTTTAAAAACTGAGCAGGAAAAAAAAAATGAGTATTCTTTTTAAAGTGTATCCTCAGGCATAAAAAAGTTCACTATAGCCGGGCTCGGTGGTTCAGCCTGTAATCCAGCGCTTTGGGAGGCTGAGATGAGTGGATGGTCTGAGCCTGCAGGTTCGAGACCCGCCTGGGCAACGTGGCGAGACCTCATCTCTACAATAAATCAAAAAATTAGCCGGGCGTGGTAGCACGCGCCT